CCAAAATAAATAAATAAATAATATAAAATAAAAAATAAATAAAATGGCAGGTGTTGAAAATGGAGAGGATGCATTATTTATTTATTTTTAAAGAGTCACACTGCTGAGTTCAAGGCTAGCCTGGTCTACAGAGCAAGTTCTAGGACAGCCAAGAGCCACACAAAGAAACCCTGTCTTGAAAAACAAAACAAAAAGCAGGTTAGCCATGAATTTGCTAGGTAGACCAGAATGGCCTAGAACTCACAGCCATCCACCTGCAACTCACAGAGATCTGCCTGCATCTGCTTCCCGAGTGCTGGGATTAAAGGCCTGCGCCATCACTGTCAACTATGAAGGGAATTTTAAGAGAATACAATAAACGTTTCCCCCAGATTGCATAGATGGACTGCTAAGAAAGACAAATAGGCCAGGTGGGACTGGACTATGAGTACTGACTACTCTGGCAAAGGGCTCGGGCTCAATTCCCAGCAACCACATGGCAGCTCACAACTGTCTGTTAACTCCAGTTCCAGGGACTCTGGTACCCTCACACTGACATACACGCAGGCAAAACACAAATGAACACAAAATAAATAAAATATTAAATAAGCTAGTAAATAGGCCAGGCATGGAAACACACACCTGTCATCCCAGGCCACAGGTGCCTGAGGCAGGAGAATTGTGATGAGCTGGGGGCCAGCCCAGGCTACACAGCGAGATGCAGTCTCAAAAAACAAAATGAAACAAAAACACACAAAGGTGATGGGGTATGGACTGGATGGGTGCTTGGTGAGGCTCCAGGCCCTGAGCTCAATGGACAGCTCGGTCAGAAGGGACCAGAAACACACAGACAAACTGAAGCAGGAGAGCCTGTCCAAGTGAGAAATATGCCCACAAGGAGGAGGGCAGTGACAGGGGCTTCAGAGGATTCACGCACCCTGAGGACAAGCATCCTAGGCAGAGGCTCTGCCCACTGGTCCCCAAGCTGATCCAGGTGGCTTCAGAAGCCCCGTGGCAAGGTGGTGTGAAGTCTGTGGATGACCCCTCTGAGACTGCCAGAGGAGTAGGGCATGGAGGCGCAGGCCTGTCATCCCAGCACTGAGGCGGTCGAGACTGGAGGACCTCAACAGTTTCAAGACAGCCTGAGCTACTGCAGAGTTCCAGGCCAGCCTGTCTAAAAAACAAACAACAACAAAAACATTAGGACAGGCACTCAATTGCTGGAACCCAGGCTCGGTGAGTGAAGTGCTCGCTGGCACAGACTGAGCCCTGGGTTCCAGGAATGATGGAGTACATGTACCATCCCAGCATGGGGAATTAGGAAGGGGAGGATCGGGAGTTCAAGGTCATCCTTGGCTACACAGAATTCAAGACCAGCCTGGGCTACCTGAGACCCTGTCAAAACAAAAACAGGTGCCAGGAGGGAGGTGCAGTGATTAGTGCACTGGCTGCTCCTCCACAGGACCCGAGTTCAGTTCCCAGCACCCACACATCAGCTCACAATCAGCTGTGCTACACCCCCTGGACATTGCTGCACATGGTACACAGACATGCATGCAGGTGAACACCTGGACACATAAAAATAAATAACAAAGCTGGGTGGTGGGGCACACCCAGCACTTGGGAGGCAGAGGCAGACGGATCTCTGTGAATTCAAGGCCAGCCTGATCTACTAGAGCGAGTTCCAGGACAGCCTTCAAAGCCACAGAGAAACCTTGTCTTGAAAAAACAACAAACACACTCACACACACACACACACACACACACACACACACAGAGCTGTACCCATCCTCAAAGCCCCTCCTGCCTATGGCTACAGCCAAGTTGAACAGTTGCTATGGAGCCAATATAACTGACCAAGACATTTCTTTTCTCCAGAGTGGGGCTAGAACCCTAAACCTTACACATCTTAGGCAAGTGTTCTACCACTGAGCTACAGCCAACCCCAGCTGAAAGCTCTTGATGTCTGGCCCTTTCAATGAATTTGCTGGCCGGGTCAATACTGGGTGTCTATCATGATCACACTACTTTCTCTACTGAGACAGATCTCTCACTGAACCCCAAGCCCACCAATTCCAGGCTCTAGCCAGTCAGGCAGCTCCAAAGACTCCCTGTCTTCACAGCTGTCTATCTGGCTTCTATGTGGATGCAAATACTTCATCCACTGAACTGTCTCCCCAATTCCTGTTTTGTTTATCTTGTAGACAAGGTCTCATGTAGCTCAGGCTGCCCTAAAACTCACTATGTAGCCAAGAATGCACTCCAGATTCTCCTGCCTCAGCCTCCAGAGAGCTGGGTGACAGGCATTCACCACTCAGCTTCTCTGGGTGGCCTCAGGTGTCACACAGCTTTCCTCTAATGTCAGTCCATGTGCCCAACCAGGACCGGAGCCAGAATTAAAACCCTAGTGTTCCTCTAGGCTGACAGATTTCCCTAACATGGTCATTTGTGACCTTGACAGAGGCCCAGTCAGGTGCCCTGTCATGTACTGCCTCCAATCTGACTACAGTAGGTTTATCTGTTCTGTGGTCACACAGAGTTGCCAAAAACCACGGGAACTTGGAGGTTCAGGGTACACTTCAGTGGAGTTTGTCTACCACCGACAGGTCCTCAGGACCCCAAAACAAAGGAACTACAGGGCCCTGAAGACCACATTCTGGAACCCAGGTCTGTGCAGGCTTTGCAAGGCCTTTTGGAGGTCCTTTCTACCTCTCCCAGGTTGGGAGGGACTGCTCTTTAATTTCTCCCTTTCCTTTTAAATTATGGGCACATGAGTTTAAGTGCCTTCTGAGACCAGAAGCCAGAACCCCAGGAACTAGAGCTACAAGCTGTCTCAAGGCACCAAGGTGGCCACTGGGAATTGAAGCCACTTGCCTCTGCGAGCATGCATACACTCTTAACCACTGAGCCATCTTCCCCACCTCCGGTGAGCCAGAGTAGGCAGGTGAGCCACAACCCTAGTCCCTCAGTAGGGGAGTCTAGGGGTCTCCACTCCCGAGCCACACCCCAAGCCCTCAATTTACTTGTTTTTCTTTTTTGATCATTCTTTTTGGTTTGTTTTTTGAGGCAGACTCTCAATATGTATTCCTTGCTGTTCTGAAATTTGTGTTGGTTTTGGATTCACAGAGATTTGCCTCTGCTTCCCAAATACTAGACTAAGGGAGAGCACCACCATACCTGGCTCTTTTTACTTTTTCTGACAGGATCTCCTAGGTTGCCAGAGTAGATCTGGAATTCGCAGTCCCCTGCCTCAGCCAAAAAGTAGCTGAGCTCATGGCCTGCATCGCCACACAGTGCTTTCCTACTGCATATTTTCAGACAATTGTCCATATTGTCACCTACAATGTTGGTGGGTGGGAGTCAGGCCCAGGGATGCCACCACTGACAGATCACATGTCCCGCCCCCCCCCCCCCCCCAGCAACCAGTGGACTCCAGTTCAACCACGAGGATCGGTTACAAGCACAATATGGAGTCACCACACCCCAGCAGCCCCAGACAGGGTTGAGTCTAGTGCACAGGCATGGAAACTGAGGCCCAGAAAGCTCAAGGTGGAGGAGCCTTTCTGACACTGCCCTCTCAGGCACCTGCCACAGTGCCATGTCCTCCATTGCCCACCCTACCATCTGCCAAGTGCCCCTTCTCTGCAAGCTCCATGGGGTCATGGCACCCCTCTGTCTTCCTGTTCTGTCCTTGCTGTGCTTCTCACACACTCAAGTCCTCTAGACTCTCCCCCACCCCAGCGCTCCTAACAAGAAGAGACCACTTCTCTCTGTCCCAGGGGGTCTGGACACCTCCTTCTACATTCCCCATTTTGTCACCAAGCCAATGAACTATCCTAAGTATTCACATGTGTCCAGAACAGCATCGGCAGTGCAGTGCATATTACTTCTCGTCTGGGAACACTGGAGAGTCCAATCCTTTTTAAGGCTGTACAGGACCCCTGCCCATTCCCAAAGAATTAGAATGCCATGAATTAGATGTCTCTGGTGAGGTCTGGGGGACTGGCTCAGACAGGCAGGGAACCCAGGGCTAGAAGGAAGAACGAGGCAAGAGCAAAACTAGGGGGACACAGGGAAGCAAAGCACCTTGGGGAACGATATCCTGAGGTCAGCTGGGGTGAGGAACAAACACAGGGTGTGAAGATGGGAGGAGGAAGGAGGGGATGAGGGAGGGTCCTAGAAAATTGGACAAGCTAAAGAACAAGGAGTGGTGGGGGGTGGCTGGAGGATCCCCGGAGCAGGAATGGTCCTAGATGGAGGACCAGGTCCAAGAGAGGCAAGATCCAGGAGCATGGGTTCCCCGTGTTTAGGAACTGGACTGTGATGTAGGGGTGTCTGAGAACTAGGTTCAGGTGAGGGTTACAGGAATGCCAAGATACAATGCCCGAGGCTTTAGACTCAGGGTCTTGGGGTGACCCAAGGTCTGGGTGGTGTACAGTCTGAGGTACTTGGTCCTGGGTGGACTGCAGGTTTTTGGGGTACAGCGTTGTAGAGTACAGGTCTGGGGTGCAGAATCTAGGGGTAAAGGATCTGGATGCAGTGCCTTGAGATTAGGGTTGGGTTGCAGGGTTCAAGGTCTGACTGCGGGGCTTAGGGTGCAGGACCCGGGAATGCAGGGTCTGGATGGGGGGTGAAGGGTCTGAGGTACATGTCCTAGGTATTTCAAGGTCTCAGTTGCAGGGTTCTAGGGTGCCGGTTCATGGAGTGCAGGGTCCAGGTGAGGTGCAGAATCCGGGAGGGGAACAGGATGGGGAGTGCAGGCAGGATCTGGGTAGGATACAGGGTTTGGAGTGCAGGGTCCAGGTGGGGTGCAGGGTTTGTGATGCACGGTCCGGGTGGGGTGCAGGGTTCCAGGACGCTGGTTCCTGGGGTGCAGGGTCCGGGTAGGGTGCAGGGTCCGGGGGTGCAGGGTCTAGGGTTGCAGGGTCCGGGCGCGTCCCGGCGGCCCACCTGTGCGCAGGGACGCGCTGCGAGCTGAGCCCCTTGCCCACCAGGAAGTGCACGTCGCACA